CTGACTCTCGAGGAAGAGGGTTAAAAAGGGAAAAGTTAGCAGTTATAGCCAGCGGTGCTAAAGCTTATCCAAACTCTCTCCACCAAAAGTGTCTGTGAGTTTTGTCCCCCCCGCTCAGCATTTCGTTCGTGAGGTTTCGCACACCGTAAAAGGGTTTTCAGGGTTGTCCCTAAAGAATACTTATTTCACGAAAGAGGTATATGTGAACTCAGCGGTGAGAATAAAAAGAGCTGAGTTGCAAAGGAAGGTAAGAAAGTTGCCACTGGTGTGAACAAAAGGGTATGGTTTGTCAATTTCTTAACAGAGGAACAAGGAAAGGTGATCAAGTTTAAAGCAAAACGCTTCGCTCGTTTCTATCCGTCGTCATTACCACTGAGATGTCTTTGGGATACGGTGCCTTACTGTGGGGAATCCCCATTCGATGGAGATTCATGACAAATATTTCTTTCTTTTCAAGAATAATTAAGTCTACTATCATAATTTTCGCGGGGATTTGACTCATTTCCTTTTGAATAAACAGTAATAGTCAAACATATCCGATAAATGCAGTTTATTTCGTTGTTACAAACAATCCTCGCTTAAGAAAGAAACCTCCAAAATACGTCACTCAATCTAGCTAAGAGTATCTAGGAGATTATAAACTGTTTATATTCTCTTGGAGAATCTAAATCAACTACTGTAGTGTTAAGCTATTGCGAGTTGATTCTTGAGCTCATCCGTCGAATTCAGAAACCACACGTCCGTTGAGTTTCTGAGGTGGTCTGAAGTTCCCACACATGGGGCCTCCCTCTCCGTTTTTCAATCTCCTCATGGCGCCGAACTGGAAAAAAATCACATTAATTGTGAATAGAAGATCGGAAAAAACTACAGTTACAGAGGGTTGGGGACTGTTTAGGTATAGATAACTTTAAACGCAAACGTTTGTGCTCTGTGAACTGTTAATAGCATAACTTTCACAAAGGAAAAAGGGTCCAATTTAGACACGTCAGGTACTGCTTATCGTCCTAAAATCGAACACTTATGTCTAAAATATAAAATCAGACACTGGTATCTAAAATAGAACACTAGTGTCTAGTAACGGACACTTGTGTCTTAAATCGGACACTTGTGTCTAAAATCTAAAATCGAACGCAAATTTCCGATTTCGGACACTCTTGTCTTAAATTGGACTTTAGTGCGTTTGAATGCTTTAGTAGGATATGTGAAACGCGCAAGCACTAATTTTTCAGGATCTTAAATAGTGTTTAAATGTTAAAAAGCAGAAAAATAGCATAAAAATATTCTTACCAAAGGACCAGGGAATTTAATGGGTTCTTTCAGTACAATCCAGCGAACTGATTGATAACAGGGAGGGGTGGTAAGGGAACCCTTGTAGGAGTAGAACGATGAGAGGTCTTTCAGTTCAGGAACCAAGTCGAGCAGTGCTATGTATCTGACTGAAGCTTCGGCACCTGAGAGAGAAAGTGGTTGTATTAGCTGCCCTAATGTTATAAATGGTTAACCTTTTCGCTTCCAATATCTAGGTATAAATACTCGACACTGTCTGCCATACATTTCGTTTAGTTTTGGTTCTGAAAATTTACTTTCAAATCAAAAAATACCCTTCCGTTGATGTTGTGTTACTTCTCATGAAACTTCTGCTTGAAAATCTATGGATGTTCTAGGGAGAAATTCTCTTTTGGTCACTATTAGGAGTAATGAGTTTGGCTGAGTAGTGTGGACACTCTGGATCCGTGATGGGAGAAGGATATTCTCAAGATATCGTCGTGTTAACGATCTTCGTATTTAAGTTATGTTTCGTATAGGGTATTGTTATTTAAAACTTTTTTGTTTTTATTCCTTGCACGATACCCGCACAGTGGGCAATGAAATGACAACATTAGAACTCCTGCGAGGAACCAACATCTACTTGTCGAAATGCAACGAGGATCAAAATGCCCTAATAAGATATCGCCAAAACGCACCAATAGCAGCTAACTATCCCTTTATAGCGACGCGCAATCATTGAACCTCATCACGTGACGAAGACTAACAGTAGAACAGTGGAAACTTCGTTATCTCTAATTGATACCTTGACCATTGAATTTATAGAGACTCTTTGGCGTGACACAAACGAATATGTAAGCGGATATATAAAATGATACAAGCTGCTAAGGCCTTACCAAAATCCCTTATTCTTCTCAGAGCATAGTAAAGTTTGAGGAGGGCATAATAGTGCTTTTTTCCTTTCCCTTTTTCTCCTTTCTTCTTTTCCTGAAATAGGTAGCATGTTTTCACATTAAAGATCTCATCGTCTTAGAAGTTTTTAACTGAAAGATGTTCCTCTTGGAGTGATGAACTTCATCTCCCAAGCAAATATTTAGCGTTAGTCCCCTAACTATTGAAATCTGACCCTTGTTGCTGCCTTTTGTACAATATGCAGTATGAAGTCTTACTTGCGCGCCAACGTCAAGCGTTACCAACTATAATGTTTGTTGTGGAGCGGGAATGAATCCCTTGCAACTGTACGGGGTATTTTTTATAGGTATGCAAATGATCTCACTGAAGAAAAGCTGTTGCTGTACATTTTTCTTCAATCAATCCAATTTTCAATTTCCTCAATTGCGATGACTTCAACTTCAACTTTACCTCTCTACCCCAGTCTTCCCCAACCCTTACCTATTCCACCATGCGGCTGATTCCTTTCATTTTAGGAACAGATGCTATTCCAGGAAAAATTTTTTATTTTTCCAAATTCATCACTAACAAAATACCTGGTAAAGTTAATATAGCAACATATATGATATTTCCATACATACCTCAAAGAAAACGCCAATCACAGCCAGTCCATCGGATTGGGACGCAGCGGTATCAAAATCAGCGTACTTTGTGTTATAAGTCACCAAATGGAGCTAAAAGACGATAAATTGAAATTATACATGAAGTACAATATTGTAAATAGTTCCTCTCTGATCTGCCGACCAGATACCAGACTAGAGCCATACACGATTAATAGCCACTCGCGTTTTCCACGCTTCACACAGTTTGCTTCATAGCCAGTCATATTTTCAAGTGTTGTACCCAGACCTTCCACGGATAAGCACTAAACGGTGATAGACTCGGGCACGATATTAGATATTTTCCTCTGTTGTGATTGGTAAATGTCATCTTGCTTTGACTGACGGTACTCAATCAAATTGA